CACACTGTGTGGTGCTGGCCATGAGCTTCCCCTCAGGTTACCTGCTGCTCTAAGACCACTTCCTCCTGGTTGACGTCATCCAACCAGGACAACCTGACTCTCTTTTCCAGGAGTTTGGAATTGGGGTTCTGAGCCAGGTGGTCTGTCTTTCAATGTAGCTGAACACTTGGGGGCTCAGAGCAGAGGATAGAGAACAGAAAAAGCAACCACACAGAGAGAAGAATCCAGCAGGTGGATACCAGAAAGGGGAGACACCGAATCCTGTGCAGGGCTTTCCAGTTCTTCTGTTACAACTGAATTTCCTGAGACCCCTGTATCCTTATAACTTATTCCCCTGCTCTTTTAAAAATTAGCTTTAAAAATTAAAAATAACAGTTTCTGTTATTTTGGAAGAAGATGGAAAGAAATGGATTCACCAGAGTTCCTAAGGGGCTAAGGAAAGTAGGAAGTGGGAGAATGTACTTCCCAAGAGGCTGAAAATGTGGGGAGCAGGAGTTGAAGGTGGAGCCCTGCTCCCCTTCTCGTAACTTCCCCCAGAGTTACCATCCTCATGAAATGCTGAGTGGGCCTCAGTTTCCTGTAGAAACAGAAAAGGAGATGGAGTCTGGTACCGGCAGGTTTCTCTAAAACATTGTGGGGGGAGGTGGCAGGGTGAAGGCAGGGGAAGATGAGGAATGAGGGCCAGAAAAAACACAGAGAGGAGATGGACCTACCTCGAGCTTCAGAAGTGTGGTTCAGCGCAAGTTCAGCCAATCCAAGAGACTGGAAAACTTCAAGCACACATCTGGTCTATCAATTGAAAAATCAGTCTCCCCTGTGTTGAGAGCCACAGCCAAAGGGGCCCCAGCAAACTTCTAGCTGATTGGCTCCTCTGCAGTGATGCTCATTGGGCTGTTTCCCTGCCCTTTCAGACCACAGAGCTGCTCATTGGGGGACTTCTTTGGCTCTGCCCACACAACCCAGCCAATCGGCCTCAAGGGCAGGAGGATTGTGGGAGGTGGAGAGGCTGGTGTGGGGGTGAGAGGCTTGTGGGAAGCCGGTGGTGGCAGTTGGGCTCTGAGGGTTTTTTTCCTGAGGAGCTGTTTTGTTTGGCGTGTGTAGTTCTAAAAATAAAGTTAGTTTCTTTTTGACAAGTGGCTCCTGAATTGTGCCCAGCCAGACTGCGGCACCCCTGAATAATATTGCAAAGTTCATTCTTTTTATTTTATTTTATTATTATAGAAGAAATGTATGGAGACATGCTTATAAAATCCCGACTTATATATGGAATAGAAAAGTAATTCCTCTTCAACTCCCAGATTCTACGAGGAACCTGGCTGAGCCCTAAAGGGGCCAGTTACAGGTGAGAAGTGTTCTGCTGTAGACAGCAGGTAAGACATAAGAGGATGGCACTGTCCTTCCCCCTGGAAATCCAGATCAATGCCTGGGCCAGGATCTTTTTTTTTTTTTTTTTTTTAAAGGGTAAAACACAGAGAGTTCCCACACATGCACAGCGTTCCTCATCAACATCTCTCTCCAGAGTAGTACATTTGTCATGATTGATGATCCTACATGGACAGCTCATTAACACCCAGTTCACATCACAGTTCACCCTTGGAGTTGTGTTATTTTATGGGTTTGAACAAATGTTTAATGACATGTGTCCAACATTACAATATCATACAGAGGAGCTTCAGTACTCTCAAAATCCCCGGTCCTTTGCCTATTCAATTCCTCCCTCACCCTTTCCACTGGCAACAATTAATGTTTTATTGTCTGCATAGTTTTAACTTTTCCAGAATGTCATGCAGTTGAGCTGGGCCAGTTTATGCCAAAGCAGCAAGGGCCACCTAAGTCCACCCACCTTGCCCATTCATCTGGTCCCACACGGGCCAGTACCCCACAGGAGAACTGGATGAAGCAGCAGCTACTTCAAATTCTCCCTTCATTGCCCAACCCTTCTGCACTCTTTAAATACATTACTGAAAAAGTTGCCTTTTACAGATAAAAATTTGCCTTTATCAACTATTTTGATATACAGCTTTTCCATTTATTGAAGGTGTCTTTCAATTTGAGGATTGGTTTATCAGTTCTGGTCATGTGAAAACTGTATTTGTTTGGGGGAAAGACTATGTTCTTTCACCAGGAAAGGGTTATCAGACAGCAGCTATGGCTACAGTTTAATTCATTTATTAGTTTAAAAGAAAATGTTTCTAAAACTAGATCTGGTAAAAAAAATAGGATGAATCAGACCCAGTTTTCAGAAAAAATGATTTTAGATTTAAAAAAACACCTTTCTCTTTTCTCACCAACAATCAGATCTTTATCAATTTCTTTTGCCTTCCCCCCCCCCCAAATTAAAAATCATCAGTGTGTTAGCCTATTGTTATGGTTTGGATATGAGGCATCCTCAAAGCTTGTGTTTGAGACAATTCAGGAAAGTTCAGAGTGAAATCATCGGGTTATCAGAACCTCAACCCCCTCAGCATTAATCTCCCAGGGATTAACTGGGTGGTAACTGTAGGCAGATAGCAGTGGCTGGAGGAGGTGGGTCACTGGGGGTGTGCCTTTAGGATATAAATGTTGCTCTCTTTCTTTCTTTTCTCTGTTTCTTAATGGCCATTACCTGACCTGCTTTCCTCCACCACAGTCATCTGCCATGATGTTCTATCCTTGACCTGGAGTGAGTCCTACACCAAGAACTAGTGACATTGTAGTCCATATAAATGAAGGTTGATAATTCTTGGAGATGGAGGTTGAACTGGAGGCTGTTTCTATGCCTGATAGTCTTGCTACATAACCTTTCTCACTGAAATTCCCAGAAAAGGAAGGAGACATTTGTAAGATATAGATAGATGTTATGAGAACAAGCCACTTGGCGTCCAGGAAAAATCCTCCACTTGACCCTTGACCTTTTTTACTCAGAGATGGGCTTCCCAATTTGGACATCTCTGAGGCCCTTTGCTTCTTGTTTTCCCTAGGTATCTGATTCTTGGATATTTTGCACTTATTTTCACTTCTATTAGAGAAAAACAATAGGGTACTGTGCTAACCATATTAACCAAGCAAGCTCCACACTGGTGGGCATGGTGGTGCACACCTTTAATCCCAGCAATTTAGGAGGCTGAGACAGCAGGATGGTAAGCTCAAGACCAGCTTAGGCAAATTAGTGAGACCTTACCTCAAATAAAAAAATAAAAGGCTAGGGAAGTAGCTCCGTGGTAGAGCACTTGCTTAAACATGATGCAAGGCCCTGTGTTCAATCCCTAGTATAAAAAAGAAGAAAAAAGAAAGAAAGAAAAAAATGAAAACTAATAACCCCTAAAACTTGCCTCTATTTGCTAACTTATGAAGACTTGAAATGATAACAAGTTAATGCTGATGTCTTACTTTAAGATTTGGGATTGTATTAGGGATATCCAAAGAAACACAACTGATGGCAAATATAAAGATCCATAGAAAGAGGTTTATTATGCAAACTGTTTTCCACAATTAGGAAGGCTAAAGAGTTCCATGAGCTGCCATTGCAAACTGCAGAAGCAGTGAAGCCAGTGTAGTAGTTCCACCTCAAAATCAGAGGCCTGAGAAACGGGAGGGGGCATTTGTATAAGTTCCAGTTTGAGTCAAAGGCCTAAGCATCAGAAGGCCAATGTCCCAAGGCAGGAGAGGACAGATGTTCCACTCAAGCAGAGAGAGTGAATTCTCTCCTTTTTTTTGTTCTCTTTGACCCTCAAGGGATTGGATGATGCCAGCCCATGTTGGTGAGAATGATCTTCTCTACCACGTCTACCAATTCAAATCTCTCCCACACATCCTCACAGACACAGCCGGAAGTAAGGCTTTGCCAACTCTCTGGGCATCCCTTAGCCAAGTCAAGGTAGCGCATGAATAATAACCTGTACAGGGACTGTGTGTGAGTCTGGGGTCCAACTAACAACTGAGAACAGATGTTCTCGAAGGTGAGAGGGGAGAAGTTTGGGGCAGGGGTGTGGTATGTGCTGGTGGATGGTAAAGGGAAGAGAGGAGGCTTGAAGTGCTGCCTGTCCTTCTCCAAGCTGCTGCCATCACATTTAGCTTAGGAACCATAAGAGTCCTCGGGAAAGAGCAGCACTGGTTCTTAAAACATAGGGCAGTCTGTTACCACATTGGAAACAGGTTAAAAAGTAAGGGAGAAGTGAATGCCAGGAAATCTTGCCCTGCTGAAGAGGGTGGGGGCTGGGGGCTCAGGGACTCCTGGGGCTTGTTGTGAACATGGAGTTTGTCCAAGCTGATTAAGTGGAATTAACTCCACAGTCTGGGGTCTTACAACCTCCTGTTGCTCTCATCTCTCCAAACCCTTATTTTACCTCTTCAGAGCCTCCTGGTACCCTGAGGAATTTATTAATGAGGTCCAATTATGGAAAACTTCAGGGTTTTAATCAACTTTGGATGTGGGGGCTAAAGGGTCCAGCTCACCCCCCCCCCAAGAATACGTACAGTAAACAAGATTTAAGATGAACCGCACACTGCATTTCCCTGGGTCCCCCACCTGCAGCCCTCTCACCCTTTCCAACCATCTATAGCAACCCCACCTCCCCTTTCCCTCCACTTCACCCCCACCCCCCAGCTTTCACACAGAGCAATGGACTTCAGTTGCCCCCTATTTAAAAATCTGCAGGACAAGCAGAGAACTGCACTCCAGTAGCCGCGGCTGGCTTCTGTCCATGCTCCCCTGTCCCTCCCTCGTGGTTCTTACTTAGGTATTCTGGAGAGATTTTTCCTGGCCATTTCTACCCTCATCTACCGCAGCAAACAATCTTTGCTTCCTCCTCCAGGATATTTTTGAAGACAGATTAGAGGCTTGAAAAAATACTTGGAATAACTCTTTAAACAGGTTTCCCAACACTGGTGGACGGAAACAAAGGCAGTGGGTGGGAGAATCAGTCCCAAAGAGTGTTCTGTTTACCATCCCCTGTTGCCTCGAAGCTTGGGTTCTCCCTGCTTGTGGAAACTCTGCAAACTTCCGGGGCTGGGTCTCTGTGGAGCTCCTCACCCTGGGAGACAGGGGCCCCTCCACCAGCTGCTGTGGGAATGCCACATCTGGTATTCCTGCAGCCACTTCCTCTCCAGGGAGAAGGTTGGTCTCCACCCTGTGCGGTTGCATAAAATGATGCTGGGCTCCTGGGAGCAAGCCTGCTGGGAGCTGCGGAACATCCTGCAGGCTCCTGTAGGGCTGGAGGCTCTGCTCAGCTGATTAAACATGCCTCATCTGGGAAGACATTTAAAGGGACCATCATGTGGCATGGCCAGGCTTTCCGTAGCTGAACATTGTATTTCATAAGGCGGAAAGCACAGTTTTTGTTTTAAATGCAGCTAAGTGCGCTGGAAATTGGCCTTCAAAGCTGGGAGCCCCAACCTGCCTTGTGGAAGAAGCTCACCCTGTCCACTCTAGGTGTAAGGGTCCCCTTGAGCGAGCCAGGATTCTTTTAAGTTGCAAGTGACTGAGAAGACACTCTGTAGGTGAGAGAAGTTTGGTATTTTTTGTTTTGTTTTGTTTTGTTTTGCTCCTGGAATTGGGGTGGGAAATACAGGTAGGACCCAGGGATCAGGGGAAACCTATGATGTATTGTATTTGGATCATGTTGATTCTTGAAAGCCACTTGTCCAGGTTTTCAGTGATTTTGTGAGTCAGTTGTTAAACACAACCATTACTAAAAATTAAATTATAAGATCATGATTAAAAATTATATTAGATGTAAAGGTAAGAAATTCTAAATTCTTATCACTTCCTTATGACTTTACTGCATTTTTTTTCTCCCCTACATGTGTGAATCTTTATATCTGTGGTGTCTGTAGGGTGAAAACACAATATGATTTGCTCATCTCTCCCCAACACCAATGATGTCATTTTGGAAGTTTGACATTGGTCACGGCAGAAGCATTCACACTGTAGAGACTGACAAATGCTACAAATCAGGACTTGATCTTTTGTTGATTACCTAGAGTCTAGACTTAAGAAAGCGATGAAAAAATGTTGACAATGCAAATTAAACTTGAAAATGTATATACATCTCTACTTGTTACTTTGTGAATAATATCCAAAAATTGAGAAAAAATCTGTTTTTCTAAAACGATTAACTGATTTTCCAAAGAAGTCAGGTATACCATTGAAAAATGAGTAAAATTCTACCAATGTCTTTGCTGATTCACTTTCATCTTACTCACATAAAGAAAATTGCTAACCAATTAGAGAAATGCAAATTTAAACTACACTCAGGGGCTGGGGATGTGGCTCAAGCGGTAGCGCGCTCGCCTCTCATGCGTGTGGCCCAGGTTCGATCCTCAGCACCACATACCAACAAAGATGTTGTGTCCGCCAAGAACTAAAAATAAATAAATATTAAAAATTCTCTCTCTCTCTCTCTCCCCCCCCTCTCTCTCCTCTCTCACTCTCTCT